GTTACTCTGCAATAAAAAAATTTGTGTACAGGTTCTGGTTGTAACACGACATCATAGATCTATTTTTAAACTATAGAGATATGTGCGGAGAAAACAAAAGAGAAACAAACTAAAACAGTTTTGGCCTTTGAACTGAGATGATCCATAAACTGAGATTAACTTTAATTGCATTTCTTTTTTGTTTTCGTTTTTTGCAATACAACTATTACGTGCTATTCGATTCTGACTGGACAAAAGCGGCACAGTCAATCCCACATTAATTAATTAATTAATTAATTAATTAATTAATGCCCATCACCAATAAGAGTGAAAAGCACATATGACGCCATCACGCGCGGATCTGAAAAATTTCGTCTTTAAAATGTTCCATGTCTTTTTTTCTTTTCTTCATTTCACAACGAACACACAAGACATGGATGTTGCGCACGCAATGACTCTTACCCAACGACAGTTGCTGTCGTAATAGTAGTAATAGACATAGGGACACAGCTTTTCCCAGGTCACGACAAGAACCCAAGAGGCTTCAAAGTTTTCAAACTTGCCAGTGTAGCGTTGCACATGCTCTGACGCCATTCTAAGGATCGCAGCAGAGCTGTTAATGTCACCACGCTTGTGCATTTGATAATACACTTTAGAATGACCATCGCGGAAGGCAGAGTACGTATCAGTCGTGGCCCAGAACGGTGCAATAATTGCCATATTTTTCAGCCACCAATAAGCACCAAACTTCCGTGGCCACCACCAGCTCCACTCATAGTTCAGTTGAATGATACCATTGCGACATATCTGTAAAAAGGGGTTGTTTAATTACAGCTGATACAAATTACTGCTAAATTTTTGAAATATAGCCCAAGTTCCTTTATAGCAATTTTATGAACAGTTGTTTTCAGTTTACGCTGATATTAAATTAAAACAGATTAAAGGAAATCAAACGCCAGCGGTTTAATTCACGATCTACTTCTTGTGAAAAAAGTAATAACAGACATCCCGCAGACAATGATATTAGTCATTTTTGGAAGTCTCAACGAATGCTTTTACGGATAAATTTATTTCAAAAGATATATTCAGTCAATTAATAAACTTTATTTAACTGCGGTTCTATTAGCCTCCATGCACAAAGTATATACCATTGTGACCTTTAACTGTTATATATGTATCTTTCTTTCTTTTTCATGGTAATATTGTAATTCCAAATGTAAGTGCAAAATAAAGTGAAGTTGAAGTTAAGTGTCCAAAACTTCTAGTCACCCGGAGGCCGACTAATCGGAGACACTCCCAGTAAGTGTAGCGTTGTTATTTTAATTATTATTTTAGTTCAAAATAGCATTTTGGGATCAGCAGACTTGATAATTATAACGAATATCTGCAAGATATATAAACAATAGCCTCCATTTGGCGCGTAAATAAGCTCGGATATTTGTCCGCGGACATGATCTGTTCCGAGAAGCAAAACTGTGAGCTTTAAGGATCAGATAAGGTCCAAGGACAAATATCTTAGCACATTTTCGCGCCAAGCCGAGGCCATTGTGTTTCTTATCCTTCAAATCTTTTTCGTAATACGCGCAGTTTTGAAAATTGGGAAATATCACTCGGATATTCCCCAGTTTCA